GATCTACTTCTTTGAGCCATTGCTGAAAGAGAATAATATTCAATACAATTTTTGGGTGGGACAATGGATTTTGAGCTGAAAAGGGAAGAAGGAAAAATAGACCATTCAATGAATGTTGAAAGTTCTGTCGGACACAGAAAACAGAACTTCTCCGACCAAAAAATGAAATGTAATAATGGTAGAATGCAGCTTTTTTTTTCCCATTTATTTGGTAAATTTTTGGTGGGTTGAGCCGTTGAGGTATTGAATTTTTTACTCCAAAAGATCACTTTTTTACTGACCCAATTCCTCTGTGCTGGAACTGTTATATCTTCCTTCATGATCACGATACAGGAATTAAGAAATCAATGCCATGTTCTACCTTTTCCTTTGAGAACTTGGTTTAATTTGGCCGACCATATTAATGGAATTTGAACTTGAGAGAGAGCATTTAAGGATGTTTTCGTAAAGCTCTTAGAATTCACATAATATATAATATAAACAAAACGTAAGAAAAGATATTTGTTAGAAAACATGTCAATTTGTCTGCTCATTATCAAGTCAATCACTTCATGGAATGTCAAACAAACTCTTGCCCCACAACATAATTTATAATGGGAACTATAGAAAAGGGTGACATAAAAGCTTTCTATCCATAAAGGACATTCCTATTCCCAAAACACCAACGCCACAGCTACCATTTTCCATTTCCATTTCTAAGCAGCTGGAATTCATTTATTATGATGAATGACGGTCTCTGGCACAGGCAATTTTGCCTCCCAATCCAACCACTGCATTCAATTTTCCCCCACCTCTGTTATGCAACTTGAATCTGAGAGCGATTGTGGCTTTGTACATGCAAATCATGGTCTGTTTTTCTGTAAAGGAGGTGTCCTCTGTCGTTTTAATATCCTTCTCTTTTTCACAAGTTGAGAGATCGACATATTGCAGTGTCGTCGACTTGTTTGATTGAACTATTTTCTGGTAAAAAACCATGGCATTAAGATGAAACGTACTGCTCCTCGTCGTATGCAGGATACAGGATTTGATAGCGCAAAACAGACTCAGGAATTCGTTTGTTAATACCATGTAAACTTATCAGCTTCCTGCTAGAGCATGCCTCCAGAGTCCAGAAGGCATAAAACTACTGAATCTAAAAGTGCTTTAAAGGTCGGCAAAGACAGACAAGGTTAAATTTAATCTAATTTCTTTTGTTCAACATGTTTGTCGTTAAAATATTGTATGGGATGAGCATCATACAAAGAAATGAAATGGGAATAATCAGGGCAGAAGGATTGTTCTGCAGAATCAAGTTTTCACGTTCCTTGTGAAGTCAGTGCATGTTTGGCAACTGCAATCCGAAAAGCGACAGATATCACAGCCGAAGCAGACACAGGAAGTGCAGCCCTTGCATGTTGGCGAACGGCTGCATCCCCTATAAACTCTCCGACTTGCTCGCTCTTCATCGTCACCACACATTATTCTGCAAAACAAAAGGGAGTAATACGTAGTTATCAAACTTAAGGTACATAATCTGCTGATGTCTTTGTCGTTAAAACTAAGATCAACTCCGAGACTTACTCGTGTGAGGGTAATGCAATCTTAAAGTGAATACGTACTTGTCATATGGTAGATCAGCACAAGTCCAATTACTATCTGCCAGAGCATCGTGGTGTATTTGGCATTCCTCTTTTGTCCTAAGCCGAAACCTACGTTCCTTGTTGCATCTACTGCATCGAACAAACTCATCACGGTGACAGACTCGTCCATTTTGGGATCTACCAGATCCATTGGTGCTTTTTAGCGCCTGGTTATAGTACTTGAGGAGAACAGTCTTGTACAATGGAACCTTATCTCCATCAACTATGACCCATACATTGTTCTTCCATTTTCTAGCAGTTTCTCTTCCGGAATGCTTCTCGAATGCAGCAGGAGTCAACTTGTCTAGTTGTTGGTTATAACTCAAGTTAGGAATAATTGAAAAAAAACGAGAGTAATATCGAGTATAATGAACTTTTCACAGCCCCCATAAAGAAGGGCAATCAAATTAGAAGAGCAATCTTGATAGAGTAAAAAACAAATGCTAGGTACTTACAACAATAGTAACTACCTAAAAGACGCATAAATAATGGAGCAAAAGTTACTCTCTTTCACTAAGCTGATCCATCCTTCAATTCATATGAAGATTAACAACTAGCAAATCAAAAAAATTACACAAAAAAACTGACCTGAGAAGTCGGGATCTTGACAGGCTTATTGTTTTGTGTTCTATATTTGTATCTACACTCAAACTCAGATATAAACTATTAATTCTAGCACTTTCCTCGAGTGTTAGCCTGTTTAGGTCCTAGTTGACTAGATATACAAAGTCATTAACGAGAATAACGCTTTCATTTCTTGGGTGGCACACATCAGTGAGTCAAGCCAAGGTGAAAAGGTGAAGTTAACTCAGTGAAATATCAAAAAATAAAACAAGCCATGGAATAACCAAAAGAGAAACTTAGCATTGGGGTGTGATGTTCTAATTGATCTGCCCAACAAAAAATAAAAAGAAAAAAGAGAAACAGAACCTTGTAGAACACTTCAAGCCACATTCATATTCCATTTAAATACTACTTAAAGCTATAAAATCTTCGTTGTAAGAAAAACATGTTTTACTCATAAGATTCTAAAAAGCCCACCACTGTTTGAAGATTAGTATAGAAGAAGACGCGTATTTTCGTGTGCTCCATCACCAAAAAAAAATTGTTGGCTCACTCAGACATAACAACAAACACTTAAACTGTGCACCAAAAAGATAAGGAACACACTTGCAAAACTAAACTTTCCATCCGTAGTACCAGTTCTCATCTCCTAACCCTATCCGCAACCCCAACGAATGTGAAGGGATCACAAAAAGTGACGCCCATTCACGTCAAAGCTTACATTTAAAAATCCACGAAAAGTCAAATACAAGTACAGACCCACTAAAGCTAAAGCATGCAAAATCCAATATTCAGAACGAGGTAGTATTTTGAATCCCCCATCACAAGAATCCCACAAAGATCGAGTAAATAGAAAGGGGAAGGAGAAAAAACAAAAAACAAAAAACCTTCATGACAACCAGGAGTGCATTCGCAGGTGATTTCAAGTTCACCATTAACAAAAATCCTTAGCCTCCCAACAGAATCGCCATATCTATGACTGGTACAGCCACAAGTTACCTCCACAAAATCTCCACCGCACTTAACCCCACTCATTTCACTCAGCTCCTCGCTAGAGAACAATACCAACCCAGTTTCATGAACCCCACTAGCCATTTGGGTGATTTACTCTGTAAATCAGAAAACTGGATTGAACCCAGAAGCGGGAGGGGGGAGAAATCGAGGAAAATGAATAAAGACCCAAAAGTAATCAAGTAAAAAACATGGATTATTGGCACAGATAGGTGGGGTTTTCAAGGGAAGAAGAAAAAAAAGAGGAGGAGATTGAAAGAATGAAGGAATGAGAGATGGGGTATAAGGGAAGGGGAAGCGGGAAGCCAATGACGTGTGGCGAAGGGGGTTAGGGTTTGGAATTCTTGCATGATATGATATGACATGAGAGAGAGAGGAGAGAGAGAATGAAGAAGCCTTGGTTTTGGTTGAGGTTGATGGCTTTGTTTTTCATCTTTGGTTCGTGAGGGAGAAAGGAAAAATCGCACCCACTGGGATGTGAGGTGACCGACGTTCCTGCCTTCTGAGTTTTGATTTTTCAAAAAATGTCAACCCCTTTATATTTTAATATTATTATTTCTTTTTATATTTATTAGTGTTCGGATCCACTCATTCACCCCTCGATTAATCTCATGTGACAGCTATGTGATCCTATAACATTTGGTGTTGGAAAACACATATAATTTATTCTTAGAGTAGATGACCAAAGGATTCGAATTTATTTCTATGTCAACCTCATTTCATTAAAACATGAGTTTTAAAGGAGTATTTCGTCCATCAATTTCTTTTTTTTAAAGGACAGTAAATTCAAACTTCTCGATAACTAATATCTTCGACTAATTAAACTATGGGTTATTTTTGTAGTGTATCATATCTATAATAAGGACAATCCATTATCTCCGTATTTTTCATAAAAACATGATATTGTCGATTTTAGATATAAGTTTTACTAGAAACGAACTTTATGATGATTGTCCATGTTAATATATCATAAATATTTTTATTTCTTTGTTGATATGAGATTTTGGCTGCATTTTTAACCATCTATTTATGTCAGCGAGCATAATTCTATAGATAAGGACATACATTTATGGTTCACGCTTATGTCAATGGTTTGATTTCTTGTAAACTAAAAAAATGATAGACATATTAATAAAAATTTAATTATCAAAACATAATAATTGAAAACATCGAGTCCTTCATTGGTTCCTTAAAGAATAACTTTTAAGGGAACTTTAATGCCACTCCACATGGGATTAAGTTGGATTGTTCTTAAATTATTAATTTTAATAGATATAGATGGTAAAATATGGATAATAAATTTAATTATTAGAATGTTGGCACAGTGACAAGAGATTATTTCAAAATATCTTGATGAAAGTTGTACAAATAAAATTAAATCTAATGCACTAAGTAGACTATTTAAATTTTATTTCAGGTGTGATAGATTCTATTGTTCTTTCCTTAAAAAAAAAAACTTTATTGTTCTTTTTTAATAGATAATTTGATATAATATTATACAAATAAATACTATATAACACATTAGAGACCACTTTTGTTGGTTGATGCCATTCAATTGCACTATTATTTTGCCCATGGTTAAGATAATTATTGGTGATGGATATTGATTCCCCTCCTTTTATATGGGCTTTTGGAATTTGCTATGACTTTTCTCTTTAGCACTATGCACCAAAATTATATTTGCCTTAAATGACCAAAAGCACACATAAAAAGCAATTCAAAGATGCACTATTCACAAATAATGTCACTTTTTTTAATCATATAAGTTACATTTGTGTACCATACAACAAAAGAAGATGCAATGCTAAAATCAACTAATATGAACTATTTTAAATTAATATATTTTATTGCGGTGGTAGAGTCTGATTATTAGGGTAGATTTTTTCTTGATAATTAAGAAGTTATTTTAAAAGGCTTTCTTACAAAGGGGAGTTACACTATTTGGTATAAATAGAGTGTGAACGATGTTGATTGCATAAATAGAAAGATTTAGACAAAAATAATAATAAAGAGAAATAGGAATATGCATAAACGAAAACAAATAATCACTAAAAATAAAATATTAACAGCAAAAATAAAACAAAGGTTTGAAAGCAATTATTGAGTTATACCAGAGCTTAATAAAGATAAAATAAACACGATAAGCGATAATTAAACTAATATTAGGAGAGATTAAAGTACTAATTCGAAAAGGAAAAATTCCTTCCCAAATTTCAATTAGAACCACAAGCCACCTTATAATTTCATGAGCCGTTGAATTCCCGAAGATTTGCTTTATTTCGAGCTTCTTCACAGGACAAGTTCACTTCTGTGAAACTTCTCTTCACCGTTGATGATTTCGAGGTTGTATTGAACTTACTAAATTTGATCCGCGATAGTCCAAATACAAAGTAGAAAATAGCTTCCAATCATGGCTTATTATTAGTATTATAGATATTAATGTCAAAATTGGTTGCAAAATTTAAATATTGTTTCTAATCTTGCCATCATTCCATATATCCAAATTGGGCGGTGCCTAACTCCTTGTAATAATTTTGCCCATATTTTTTGACTAATACATCTCGTTTTTCTGCCCTACAAATTTATTATTCAACTGTCCATCTACAATACTAATATAAGTCTATAATTCTTATCTCAAACTTACAGTTTCAGTGCCTTACTCTTTCACAATTCTCTCGAGATTTACTCACTCTAAAACAGGCCAAAGCCCAACTATTTTTTTATTGGACTTTGGGCCTCAAGGCTCTTTAAAACCGAAGTTTAACATTTTTCAATTTTCTACCATCATCATAATAATCCAAGAAAAATATTGTTACTTAGGGTGGGTTGCAGTGAATATTGAAATTTGAATAATTTGAATGAATTATATATTAATATTTGTGAGATTCCATTTCATTTCAAAATTAATTGACAATAAAAAAAGTAGTCCATGTATATTAGCTCATCAACTTTGTCGAATTCCAACTTCGGATTGAAAGCTTTTTGGATTTTTATTTCAAAATTAATTGATAATGAGAGTATACTTTTGTTAAATATTTAATTTTATATTATATAAAAAAAATATTTTAGGAGCTCAAACTGCAACCGACACCCATCTAAATTTCTATTAAAGCTGAAAACAAATAAAGAAAAAGGGAAAAATAAAAATCCTTCAATTAATGTTGGTGTTTTCCAGTCCACCTGAACCTTTCGGTGTCGTATAAATATATAACTTTTGTGAGACCTACAAAATTCAATTTCCTTTTGCCAAAAAATAAATAATAATAAAAAATCAATTTCCACGCGATGCGAGCGCGTGGTGGAGTCTGACTTTAATATTTCAGTTTCCTCAAATACAAAAAAAGTATTGGCACTGCCACGCCGCATTCCACAAATGGAAAAATTATATAAAATAATAATAAGTTTGAGTTCTTCAAATTATTTCTAACGTAGGATAAAAAATTCATACGTGCATATTTGTGCTTAAATACTTGGTATTTATTTTTATTCTATCAACAATTAACAGCAATAAATATAAATAATTTAATCCAATAAATATATTTAGAAAAATTTTAAAATATTTTTTTAAAAATACAATCAAACATATTTTATCAACAATTAACAACAATGAATAGAAGATATAAAAAAAAACAATAAATACAAATAATCTAATACAATAAGTATAAATAAATAAATAACATTTAAAAGAAACATATTGATTTAAGAATATTTTAGAAGAAATTAACAAGTAATTTTAAAGTAGTTGACCAATTGAAAAATAAAATATATTTAGAGGTGTTTGAGAATGATTTTAGAACGAGTAATTTTAGCAAAAGAAAGAGATGGGACAAAAAATTTATAGAGATATTAGAATAATTTTAGAGAGAACTACCGGAATTATACATAAATAGAGTTAGAGAGGAAAGACAAATATTTTTTAAAGGAAATTTTTTTCCCAAAAGTTAAGGTAAAAATAAGGTTGAGTAGAAACACAAATTTAAATCTTAAAACAATAACTATTTTAAAACTAATTTTCTAATAATTTTTGACAAAATAAAAAAACCACTTGAAGAATTTCTGCCAAGTGAAATGGGAGTGAGTTTGAGGTGTGATTATGGCAATGTCAAAATTACACATTAAATCCGTAATTTGAAAAACTTGTATTAAAAATATTAAAAAGAATGCCTAATCTGAAAGATATATTAAACTCATTCTGGTGGTGAACTAAACGCGCTTAAGTGCGGCGTGGGGGAGTACAAAGGAGATGAAACAAGTAATATCATGAATATTGTCAGCAGAAAAATCAAAATGCCCTTCTCTTTAATTCAACAGATCGATTAAGCCGTGTTCTTTATTCTATATTTTATTTCATTTTTTTGCCAACATTTGAAGCAAACCAAATCCGCTCAAATCGGCCATTTCTGTACGGTCAGCTCCTTCTCCCTCTCCTCCACCATCTCTATTTCTTGCCCTACCTTTACCTTTTGTTCCTGACCCAGCAACCCAAATTTCCTTTGCTTTCCAGTTCTTCCCTCTTTCTTTTTGCCCGCTTCTGATTGATTCCCTGAATTCCCAGTAAGGATTCCCTTTCTTTTCCCTTTTCTGCTTCCCTTTTATTGGGTTTCTTTTGTCTCTCAACTTCTGAACTCTATGAAGCTTTCATTTCGAGCGTTTCCCTCTCTCTCGCTCTGTAGTTTACTTCAATTGATTTAGATCTGCCTCTGCCTAGAAGATGCGCCGTTGTTGATGTTATTGCGTTCGGGAAATCTGGCTGTTATGTGTTTTTGATTAATTGGAGGTTTCGACTTAGTTGCAGTTACTTGGTTGCCGTTTTCTTCTTCTGGGTTTTTATGAAATGGGTTTCAATTCTGTCTTTATTCTGGTTGTTTCTGAGCAACATTAGTGTTTACTTCGAATGATTTTCATTCTCTCTTCTTGTTCTTACATAAAGCTAGTGAGTGCTCTGACTGATCTGGTGTCCGTCGTCTTAATAGCAGAATTGGAGGTTTCTGCAGAATCGTAAATCAAATTGTGGTTAAGATCATTGTCGGTAATGATTGGGCGTAAAGGGAATGTGGGTGGCTTTTTAAATCCGCCATGGATGAGGAAGAACATAAATTCTCATTCAGGAAGGATGTTCAGTGATAGAAAATGGATTGTCCCATTCTTCGCCAGTCTGCTCATTTCAGTTACCCTGATTCTAACAGCTGCTTTTGGGATGTTCACTCCTTCACAGAGTGAAGAGCAACTGCCATTTGATGCTATATCGTATGTAAAAGAGGAGGATTCGAGCGGGTATTTCATCGAGCCCGAACTGAGAAGTTCATTGGAAGAATCGAGTGGTGTTCTGAAGAGGGAACCTCCAAGATTGGCCTATCTAATTTCAGGTACCAAGGGCGATAGTCGCAGAATGATGAGGACCTTGCAGGCTGTATACCACCCTAGAAATCAATATGTTCTGCACATGGATCTCGAGGCTCCGCCCCGTGAAAGATTGGAGCTCACGAATCTGGTGAAGGCTGATTCAACATTCAATGAGGTAGAGAATGTGCGTGTAATGGCTCAGTCCAATTTGGTTACTTATAAAGGCCCCACAATGATTGCTTGCACGCTTCAAGCGATTGCGATTTTGTTGAGGGAGAGTCGGGATTGGGACTGGTTTATAAACCTTAGTGCTTCGGATTACCCATTGATGACACAAGATGGTTAGTCACTAGTTCTGTAATAAGTTCATCTTGTCCAGTCCCTACTGAACATATTTCCATGGATTAAATTGTCTTCAACTGTGCAGATTTGCTTCATGTGTTCTCCAACTTGACTAGAAATTTCAATTTCATTGAGCATTCGCAGATCGCTGGGTGGAAATTGTAAGTAATAGTTAGTGTACTGGAAGTTTTATTTTGATCTGGTAATCATAAGTATTTTTCGTGTTATGATATCCATTATCTATTCATCATTTCAGGAGTCACAGAGCAAAACCGATCATCATTGATCCAGGTCTTTACTTATCAAAAAAATCAGAACTTGCTTGGACAACTCAACGACGCTCGCTTCCAACATCCTTCAAGTTGTTTACTGGTCAGTATGTACTCGATTTTTTCGTGTACTAATCTGAATGTTGATGCAATTGTTATCTGATGTCTTTTAACAAGGATTTTCTTTCTCTGTATTTTAGTATAGTGATTCTTTGTTCGGTTGAAAAGGTAATATCAAAAACTTCAGTTGAACTAACTAGTTATGTCGTATCACTAAATGAAACTTGGCTCCTTAGAATCATTTGAACATGAACTTCCACTCATGAATGACCATTTGCTAATGAAAGTCGTCTTGTTCATACTTCCTGAAGGAAGGAGCTTTAGATGTTTGTTTGGACGAGTATTTTGGATCGTTCTCATCTAAAGTAGCTTTGTGTGAAGTCCTTTGAGATACCTGTGAGAATCCAGTGTCTTTTGTGAGGCTTCATCCTATGGAAATAATAAAAAAAAAAAAAAACATGTCATATTCTTATGATTTGAATGGAAAGTTTGTTCAAACATATACTTCTATGTTAAAATTTGTGCATCGTTACTGTTTGCAGGTTCGGCATGGGTAATGCTGACACGATCATTCGTCGAGTATTGCATATGGGGATGGGATAACCTCCCTCGAACCATCCTCATGTATTACACAAATTTTCTCTCATCTCCAGAGGGCTATTTTCACACAGTAATCTGCAACAACGAAGAATTTCGTCACACGGCAGTAAGCCATGACCTCCATTACATTGCTTGGGACAATCCTCCAAAGCAGCATCCGCTCTCTTTGACAATGAAGGACTTCAGCAAAATGGTCAACAGCAATGCCCCATTTGCTAGGAAGTTCGCCAAGGACGATCCAGTCTTGGACAAGATAGACAAAGAGCTACTTGGCCGAACAAGCAGATTTTCGCCAGGGGCATGGTGTTCTGGAAGCTCAGAAGGCGGGGCTGACCCGTGCTCGGTGCGTGGGAACGATTCGGTGTTCTTGCCAGGCCCTGGTGCTGGCAGGTTGCAGGAGCTCCTTCACTCACTGTTGTCCGAAGAAATTTTGAAAAAACAGTGTACATGACAGATAGGTAAAGTTCACAAATACATTTCAACAAGTGTATATTAATGCATCCATAGGAATACCAGGCTGATTAAAAATGAAGAAATTTTGTTTTCTCGTTCATCCAAATTCTCAACATTGAATCCCATCCCACTTTTCATGGTTTAAATCTGCTGTGTTGACGTTTTTGGTGCATGATCCAAATCACATCAAGAGAATAAGATTGGCATTCGCCAGATTATTTTTCATCATTTATTACCGACGAACAAAGCTCCAAATCTCAATACGATGCTCCCACCAAAAATCTTTCCCGAAGTAGAAGTTCATTTCAAAACCTAAGCTAATTTGTCGTACTGACCTGAAAAAGTTATTGGTATCTGAAGGGAAGGAGAGGAAATAAAATCGTATTCCTCTGGTGACCAGCAATCCAATCGCCATGAGCGCTGTCGACCCTTCCTTTTAATTTGCGTATCTGCCGCTTGTATTTATTTAGATCCCCAAAATTGCTCCAAAATCACGGTTGACCCACTGGTGAATAAATTTAGCAAGCAACTTCATGGAGAAAAAAAATAATAAAAAATCAAATCGCCGTTGCCGGGGATCGAACCCGGGTCACCCGCGTGACAGGCGGGAATACTCACCACTATACTACAACGACTTGTTGAGATTTGGAACTCTATCTTATATATTTATTAATCTATCTTGCACATCACGCTTTCCCCCCAGCCCCATCGACGATGCGATTATTTCTTTTTTCTTTTTCCTTCTTTTCTTATTATAGTATTACAAATACATGCAGAGAAAGATTCCAAACCTCAACTTGTGAGCATAAGCTATTTTGATGTTGGCAAAGTAGCTAGTTATTTGCAAATCATAGTATATTAAATTTTCATTGATATATCATCATTTTTATATGCCATCACTTCAACATCGCCATGAGAAATTTCTCAATAAAATCTCAAGAAAAAACTGACACAATATAAAAAATATTAACATAATATTATTATGGACATAATGTTAATATTAATAATTTTTAATGAAAAAAATTGAAATATTTATTTGTTGATTTAAATATGTGCCATAAATTTTTTATTTTTATAATTCTTTTTTTTTTTTTTTTGAATATCTATGGGGACATTTAAAACCTTGTTTGCAACTAAAATAACCTTCTTGTTCTTTGTTCAATTAGACATTCCATCCCTGAGTGTCTCAAGCACCTTTTTGTGTTTAGTTTTAGCCCACTTTTTACTTTTATACTAAAGACGAGTTTGAGATAGATTTTAATAGTAGTAAAAAGTACATTACGCCAAAAAAATTATAATTATACTTTACTGTCAAACACAATCCCTACCTCTTCCAAAAGTATTCATAAAAGAAAGCACTAATCTGAAAATTTATCACAAACTAGTTTACGTTCATCGGCTGCTCTTTCCTGAATATGGTTTTCCAGTCTCAGTAAGAGGGCTCTTCACAAGCAAACTTTTCCGCTGAGAACCCTTGAAAGTCACAGAACTTATACAAACTACAGGAATTCAATAAGTTCCCTGCTCCCTAAACATAGATCAATTCTGCAGTATGTCATTCTAAACAGAAAAAAATTACTTCGAGAGTATTTTGATGACCACTAATTAAAGCCATAAAAAAATGGCAGTCTCAGTCTGGGTTGTTAAAAGAGCTATAGGATCTTAAGCCCCAGTTTTGCTAACATAAGTATACTCAACAATAACAATCCCAAAACAACATCAGATCAAGATGCTCTGGTCTTTGATCCTCTACCTCTAGGACTCTTCTAACTCATATAACATATGTTGCTGCAGTCTAGAACGGCCGATAGTATCGCCCTATACTGAAAAAAGTATGGATAAGTGCGTTATCGAAAATGAATGGTATTCTGGCATAAGTGCCCAAGAGAGAACTCCTTATGCACACCAGCAAGATGGAAATGTAGACGAACCCCACTGCTGCCCAGTATTGCATAGCATATGTACCATTGTAATGTATAAGTGGCAGAAAATTGCTCGTGCACCATACGATGTTGAGCGCTGTTTCTAACAACATCCCCATCATCACATGGAATCTTAAGAAATGTGGCCAATCTTTATTCCTCACGACTCCAAAGTATGCGAGGTTGAAGTACAGCATCGGAAACCACCATGGTAAATTTTGAACAGATCCAGGGACGTAAAATATTAAATTATCAATGTCCAAGTGTTCCAGCAAGGGCAGGAGATAATATGCTGTATTAGACATCTGCAAAGCCATCAAATATGGAACACAAGCCAAAGTCCTCCACCACCATTCTGGTTTTGTCTTTACCGTAGAGTAGAGTTTTGTACGGTAAGAGTCATCTCTGAATGCTTGAGGACTCTTTGAAGCAGAATTTCGTGGAGGTAAGAGTGGAAGTTTGTGAAATAGACTGCCTTGTTCTCCGGACAGATGTGGGGATGACGCTGCAGAAAGGTGCGATATTGGCGTTCCTGGAAATCATAATAATATATAGAACGATTACGGTACCAACATTAGAAGGTTCTTCTCCAACTACAGACATGGTTACACTGGATTAAATAGCAAAAGATGGTTAAAATATCATGAGAAGTGAGAACTATGCAGTCTATCCTGGCTGAACAATATGATCTACACTCTTCTTCAAAAGCCCACCAAAGTTCCATCCAGTTATCCAGTATATGTAGAGTAGAGGCAAGGTTTTGGGATGTTCGAACACTGATTCCCAAGCTAAACTCATCCCGTTATATTTTATCGACTATCAAGAGTATGATCCCACAGACAGAGCAAACAAACAGAAAGAGTTTTTACAATTCATCTTCACAAAATTTGCGCACACTGCAGGAGTTGAACAATATTTGTGCAATTCAAATCTTCATATCAAAAGAAAAATGCAAAGTAAAAATTGTTCATACCTCTAGAAGAAAAAAATGTCAGTTCCTGACCAGATTCCTGTTTAGCATTTCTAATAGATAACTTAAGTTCTCTGCCCATATTAGCATAACCCAATCGAGGACATTGGGGCATAGCTACTTGGCTGGGCTTGGAACATCTTTTCAGAACCACATCCTTGCACCTAATCAAGATTAATTAGTGTTGAAGAACAAAATCAGAAGCAGATTTCTGAGAACGGCAATCTCAACTAAAATTTACATGGAGAACAACAGAGGTCGCAGCAGGAAGTATTGTCAAGTAATGCCAAATACCCATTACTTGAAGTGATTCAGTTAATGATTAACATAATTATCATAGAAAGACCACCAAATCATCTTCAATAGGTTTCCCGCAGATAATCCCAACATTTCTTCAAAATTAAAACACAAATAAACAGAAAAAGATACAGTTTGCCAAGCCAAATACACTCTATTTTCAGTAATTAACGAAAGAAATGAAGCAGGGCAAGAAATGAGAACATAAATAATTAAAACGCCAAAAACCAATAACTGTAAATATGATCCAGTTTCGGTCCGACGAAATAGCAACGAACGACAAAAATACGGAAAATTAAAGAAACGATCGAAAAAGACAACGTACCGTACGGAGACTGCCGTCGACGGCGGCGCAGCCGCAGGGAGGAGCGGATTCGGTGAGCGGAGTCGAGCGATGCTCGGAGCACCCGGAACCATCGTTTCTGTTTTTTGGCGTAAAGCGATACAAGGGAAAAAAAAGAGAGGCGGAGGGCAGGGCCGTGTTACTTTGCACGCAAGAAAGGGCCACAACTCTAATTTCAGATTTTGTTGGGCATTTTCTGCAAGAAAGACTAAAATTTTGTTGAAATAATAATTTTAGTTGATTAATGATTTAAATAAAATCGTTTGACTTTATTTATTCTAGGAAAATCGAACAATCAAAGAAATGGTCTTCCCATCCTAACAACTCTCTAGCAAGATGATCGGAAAATCCCATTAAAGTCCCTGCAGACATATTTAAAGGATTATGCTTGAAAGGAAGTTGCTAGAGATCTGATGTCACCAATCGAAGAAATTGCAGCTTTATTTTGGCAACTTTTTCACCGTTGATCAAATTTTATCGCATCCATAGAATTTGATTCGATCGACGCAGTCTTCAACCCCATCCTCACTGTTTACTGAACCACTTCCCAAATAGCTAAAGTTTCCGCTAGTAATAGGCTCACGACTTCATGCATTAATATCATCGCTGCTTCAATTGCAGTATTATCCTCTTGAATCAAGACACCAATTCCAAATTTTTTAGAAAATATTAGAGAATGAGAGACTTTTTCCAACATTTTTTAAAAAACGTCCGGAAAAAATAATTTTTTTTTTCACTTTTTTATTGAGGAGGGGAAAACTTTTCAATTTTGCCGATGTTTTTATAGAAAATCATTGGGAAGATTCTCCCATTCCCCCATCCGAGTTCTAAAAAACATCGGGAAAGTTTGCTCTTTTTGTGACGTTTTTATAAAATGTCGGTAGACGATGATTTTTATAAAACATCGGTATAAGTTGGCTTTTCTTGATGGTTTTTATAAAACGTTGGTACAAATTGACTTTACCTGACGGTTTTCACAAAACGTCGAGAGAAGTTGATTTTTCCCGACCTTTTTATATGCGTTGGGAAAATTGATTTTATGCGTCGGGAATAAAAACGTCAAGAAAAGTCATTTTTAGTTCTTAAATTCTCTTATACATAACGATAGAAAATTATTCTGGAGAAATCAAGGTTTTAAATGTCGATGTCGATTGAAATGTCGAGGTCTTAATTTCATGGAAATATCGATAACATGTAGATGTCGATAGATATTTTTGTAAAAGTTAGAAAAATTAAAAAATCGTAAAAAATATTTAAATTAACAAATAAACATTTTTCCATTTCTAAATTAGTCCTAAAAAATTAATATTAATATTATATATATTAGTGACATTTTGTTAATATTTTTCATATTTTGTTGATTATATTGTACTACGATGGAAATTTCGATTAACCTCTATATAGAAACATGGATATGTCGATGGAAATATCGACGTATCGACAGATATTTAGAACTACGGAGAAATAGAGGGAATCTAAAAGAAATAAAATCTTTGGTTGCGGTTGAATTTATTGAACGTTTTATTTATTTTAGGTAATCTCTAATTTTGTCTTTAATCTATTATTATTCTCAAACTTACCTTAATTCATGTATTAATAGAAAATTGATATATTTTTGTTTAAAAAAAAATAAGAAAACTGATATGTTTTTTTAATTATAATCTGTGTTAACATATTTGGGAATAATTGAATTTGTGAAAATAAAAGTAGATGTAGAGCTGTAAATTTGTGTCCTATACTTTACTTCACACTTCACAGTTCAATTTCATTATTATTTGTTTATTTGGATTTTACTTTTTAGTCGCGGAGGGTCGCATTCTCTATCGGTTGGAGAGACATTATCTAGTCTCTATCCATATCAGTTGGTAGGTCAACTTCAACCAAAAAGTTAGATGTTGGAAATCAGACACTTCCTCGCCAGACTCCTCTGGATCTCCAAAGATTGAAAAATTGAATGGCTCCCATGTATGGAATTTCCACAATAGCTGCAACCCCTTATAGCAAGACTCGCTCAGATCTTTGTCGATAATATCTTCATTGCATGGTCCATCCTCCCCTCGTTGGTTGACTGGACATCCTCAAGACTTGGTTGGATGCGGGATCTACTCCACGAGTAGCAGTACGACGCCCAGCAAACTGCGAGCCTAACTCGAGATGTCGAGAGGAAGAAGCTGTGTCCAAGGGAAGATAAGAGTAAGACACATTCTGCCCTTTTATCTTAACTTTATCTTAAGTTATATACTTTGGATAGCCTTCAAATGACTTATGCCCTGCTACTTCTTCAATCTCTTCTTAGAAAAAGGGATTGATACGAACATTTGTCTCTCCCGATTTTCTTTATATCGTTATATTTCTCTATAAAAATTGCGAAAGAAAGAGCATGTTTTTGTCTTGTGTTCAGGCATTTGTTGTCCTTTATGCCGGTCAGTTTAGTGACAGAGCCACCATCTTTGGAAACATACTATCGCCCCAAGTAGCGAAAAGCCGACATAGAGATGCCCAAACCTTCCCCGACATCTTTTTCTGAAGTCTTTTTGTTGCGTCCCTACCTCTAAAGGTATCACCCTAAGATGATCATCACATGTACTTGTTAAATAAATAAATAAAAAACTTTGATAAATTCGGTCTCACTCCTTCCCTCAAATAATCATTTTTTTTATTAAAAAAATCTTCCTTATTTGGAAATTTTTTTAATTCATTTAACTCAACTCGATTAAAGTCGAACCATTTAATTAATATTTTAAAATCATACATTATTTTAAAGATTTGATTAATTAATGAGATCATATTATTATATTTGAATTGAATTGTTTGATATTTTCCATATTTCAAATTCAACCATAATTAAAATATTTTCCTTGCTACTATTAAATATTGTATCACTGTGAATTAAACCCCTTCCAAAATAGTTAAAGTTTATGCAAGTAACGGACTTACGACTTCATGCGTTGATACTATTGCTGCTTGAGTATATTGTTATCGTCACGATAATCAATACATCAATTCTAGTTTTTCGATGTTATGGGTCACAAGCTGTATCTAAATTGATATTCACAAAACCTGATGGAGGTGGCTTCCAATACGAGTGCGAGGTACTTTCTCCTGTCTCGTCTCTCCCCATTTCCTTTCATTTCTTGTATGAAATTCTTCAGCATAATCGTAGATAATTTTACTTTTAGCTCTACCTATTTATTATAACTAATTTGATTTATTTTAATTTCTTATATTTTCAAAGCATCTGTTTTAGTATAATTTATACTTTTAAAATGATCATTTTAATATTTGTTTGCAAAATTTTAATATAAATTCTATACACATAGATATTTATTACGAAGTTACGGTTACATTTTAAAAAATTTATTAAGTGTAATATCATGTTGACATTATAATCCAAAAATGAGATAAAAAGAAAATAGAGAGTGATAAAACAGTCATTTTATTAAAATAAAGAAACTAAAACGAATGTTTTGAAATTATAAAAACTATAATAAATTAAAGTTAAAAATAAAATGACGAAAAAAAAATTTAAAAACTGTTTTAAAATATTAAAGAACAATATTATAAAAGAAAAAAAGCAAAAATTGCAGGATAAAATAATATTGAAACCTTTCAAATGAATGCTGTTTTCTCTTTCAAAATAAATAATAATAATAAAATAAAGATAGTATTGGAACATTGATTAATAAATATTTCATTTGGTGAACAGACTATAAAAAATACTGACTTTAATGAATATAACCAGACAAATTAAATTGTATGCACAAGAAAAAAAAATATTTTGCACAAAAAGTTGTAACACTATTTCAATATGTTTTTGTCCATTTTCCGTTGTATTGATTTCGGGGTGTAGAGTCTTTTGATTCAGATCGTTTGCAGGGACAAGGTGAAAGACAAGTGCAAGATGAGAATCCAAAACTATTATAGTTGTCACAGTTAGTATTCAAAAATTATTTCTTCTTAAAAGAATTATTTTTGTTTTCATTTTGTTTTTTTTAATCCTATCAATTTCGTATGAAATATATATGTTATAATTTGTTTGATACGTATAATAATACCTTTTAAATAAAATCAAAATCCACCATAAAACCTCCCCACTTTTTAAATTTTAAAGAGAATATTGCAAATTCTTTAACATGGTGTTCTTGAGATGAATTTCCATCGACTACTGTTAATTATTGAATATTTGAAGGTTTTTTTTCTTTTAGGTAGATGTTCTTTTTTTTTTTT